TGATAACTGTGAAGGAATGTGTTCTCTCTTTGCATCTACCTTGAGAGTTTTGGGGTGTTATTGTTGTTGTGGGTGCTGGTAATGATGATTTTGATGGAGATGCAAGTTTGTAGCATATAAATGTGAGGTCCACAAGTGTGGAGAAGAAATTGGCAAGTTTTGACAAACAGAATGAGGAAAACGTAGGATGAGGGTGTCTGAACTTTTGTATTTATATGGATGAAGAGATCGAAGGGAGTTCGGCGCTTGGTGATACCGCTTCTGCAACAGGTTCTCTCCGCTCGCTTGGTTGACGTAAATGCCACGTATCCGGTTCCTGTCGATTTTCGTTGTCATGTCCAAATTGATCCTCTCTGTCTAGTTGACTGTTGCAGTCAAGAGAGCTCTGTGACGAAAACTCACTGTAGGGACGCTTCCGGTTAGCTAGTCTGTCAGTTGTCGTTTTTTTCACACCATTTCTTCCAGGATCCTCTTGAACTAACGGAGAATTTATCTGAGGCGTGGTTCTATTTGGTCGAGATCGCACTGGCCTGGTAAATTTAACTTCCCTTGTTTCGGTTTGTTGATCCGGTTTCTTTTCCCTTGCAGGTGATTTACCTGTTCTGTTTGAGTTTCGGCTACTTAGCTCACCCTCGTTATGCAGAGAGACATGTAAATCGACACCACTGTCGCCAAAACTTGGGTTCATCTGAAATAATCAAAACGAAATTCAAGCTATTAGACAAATTCCGAGACAATAGTAGATGACAGAATAAGAAAGGAATAAAAAACGGATAATCGACTTGGGTTATGTAAATTTTCACCTATCAGTGGGTACAAAACCCAGCGAACGTTACTCTACTAAGGATAGGATATTTTAAACGTTATCACACACCAATAAAGATCGGTACAATGTGCCAAACACTATGAAGAATTTGAAAGCAATTTTTTCTTGAATTTTCCTCTAACTGATGAAACTATGATCCAGGAGCGATGGAAAACTCAATGCAGTTGATTATCAATGTACTTTATTCAATAAAGAAAACAAACGAATAGCACGAATATTTTAAACGCAGCGCGTCTGATCAACAGTGCGAATAACTCAATCCAACTAAGCAAAGAATCCGGGAACTTACCTGTACAAATCATGAACATCATCGTCCCAAACATTCATAAATCGGTCAAATAGATCTTTACACGATTAAAGTTGATTTGAAAATGTTTCCTCACACATTTTTGCACTAGATCATAGGGCAACAATACGGTCGGGAACTGCCGCGATCTGATTGTCATATTTTTTACGAATTGCCTAATAATCTCGTGTAGGCGCTCGAATAAATGGATGAAATCTTGTGGCATGAATTTTAAACGGAAGTCAGGTAAGGACCCTGAAGTCAAGGATATTACCTGTGTAGGAGGATATCATGAGATATCCCAGTTCGTTTAGTTACACTCCTCTCAGAAACATTTTGAGCTGTTTTTTTCCGAAAGAGTTTGATCCTGAACTGAATTGATGGATCCCTACTAAGTTTAATAATTTCAACGGTTTAAACAATGCTTCACGGTTTTTCCAATACAAATATTTGCACAAGCTTCACGCTCTCTCGATCTTATTCAGTTATTGACATCAGTTAGAAACGTTCAAAAGTAATTTGAGAAATAACATTTTCTTCAGTCGGTGTTTGGAGAGGTACTGCAGCAGCGGTATCTAGTTCATCGTGGCATGCATGCAAGTCTTCCCATCTAGCTTTAGGCACAGCCCGTATTAATTCAGCCGGGACACAAAATCATTTATCAAAAACTCATGGTCCTACAGTTTTGTTGCACAAACTTTAACCGCGCCGTTGCAAGCTTCATGCTTCCACGTGTGATACACAAAAAAGTTTGGATGTTCTTTGGTTGCGCAGTTTACCGTCTTCATGACGTTATATGCTGTGATGTAGACGAATAAGTGAACGTATATGGAAGGGTACTTGTATAAACTTTGTGCATTATTCGCTTCTGTAAATGGATTTATGTTTAAACGAGGCTGAACGCAATACGCGTTTTCATTCGGTGCATCACGTGTTGATTTCTTTCAGGGTTTGTAGATGCAAAATAAACTTTCTCTTATGATACATTAGAGATTACTACTTTTAGGAGTAACGCGTTTAGCACACCTTTCCCTTTCATCGTTCTACAACAATAATCAATTCTTTGGCAATATGGAGATCTCATCATTCAGCTGCAGATAGCAGTAATAATAATCGTACCTATCCTGCGGTTGTACGCATTATTGTATTATGATTGTATAACAAAATGGATAGCGTTACGTTAAATGCAAAGAATTTACCCAACAGTTTCAGCTGCACAGAAGATGGACGTAATACAGCGATTCAGTGTGCGCGGAGATATGAGGATATGGAAGGAGTTGTCGAACGGCACTAAGATCAAATTATGCCGTACTATTGCAGCCACGTATCGAGAAATAACCCTCAAACCTGAATCATATACGAGGAAGTTCAATGATGAAATAGTCCAACTTTGGCATAATCTGGTCAAGGAGTATCCACAAAGTACAATGAAGCTGGTAAAACTGCAGGCAAAAAATCCACTACCAGGTTGCTGAATGGATGTGATTATTCAGCGAAGAAGCTTCTTATTCAATCTGTGAAACGAAAGTTGGACACTGTCAAATCGATTGGGGACAATGTGGTGGTTGGTTGAAACAATCCGATACCACAACGTTGGTGTAGTACATTGACAAACATGACCGTGCAACATCAGCTGTTGTAAAAAACAAAATATTTCCACATTTGCTAAACTTTAACCTTTGGATACCTTTATATCTGACTCCCTGAAATGGGCCTGACTAAACAGTGTACATCGAGGCTGAAGGATCATGGGTCGCGGCTAAATAATTGTGAGTCGAGGTTGAATACCGGCAGTGTAAGGCTCCAGAATTGTTTGTCCAGGTCAAAGAATTGCGGATTGGGTCTAAACGATTGTGGGTTTTGGATAATTTAAGAGCAGTTTACGACTAGACAGCTGTATTCTAGTCCCACTGAAGTGAGTGTAACTCAGTTCGCCAATATGCTTTCTGCGTGTATCAGTTTGTCAGTCTCGTTCACCAAGTCTCTGCTCCGTGTATTACTTCAATCAAGCACGATCAATTTGCCAAGTAAAACTTCCATTCCAATCGAAAGAGAAAAACAGGTTGATGCAATCATTTGTTTGTTGATTTCAAAATAAAGAGAATGTAAAACATACATTTAGGCAACTATTCCAAATGCGATTTGCGCACAATATTTTGCATTAAATACGGTGAAACTGAAACACAGGTTATTGCATTGCTATCATATTGGTAAGCATCAGTGATGCAATTTGATCCACCAAGCCATGGATTAAACCTGTGGTTTCAGTAGCAGAACGCAATTATGTTGATCACAGACAGTTGATCAGACTGCTTCGCACTGTGCATTTGAGGCATACCTGTACCAATTTCTTGCGTGCAGCTTACCTGATGGTTTTAATACCGAAGTCTAGAAATCTCTTGATTGGGATACAAGGAAGTACTAGTTTCCGACATTTTATTGTTTTTCCAGTTTAGTTTCAAAAAGATTCTGAGTGCTTTGATTGTGGTCAATACATGGTTTTAACCGAGTAGTGTAGGTTTTGACATTGCTGATAAAGGTGTAATAAAAGCACTCACAGCAGAGGTTTTTCATTATGTCTCCGGTTTATATAAGAGACGGAGTACTGAGTTAACTTTGTGTAATGCATGGTTGAACAGAAACATACATATTACAATCGGTTACTGAAAAATACCAAAGTTCACAGACCAGCTGAGGCACCGGAATCCCGGCAGTATTCCTGCCATGACTATTCATTAAACAATAAGTATGAATAATTAGAGCAAGGGATTAAGTGATCTTATTTTTCATTTTTGTGATTTCGTATCTGCGGAAGAAAACTGCTTCTGATCTATGACAGAACAAGTTGACTTTTAAACAGCCCGATCAGTTTAGTGCCTCATTTCCTTGAAATCCATTAGGGGAATTGGTTCATATTTCGTGCCGATAGTAAATTACAATACGTTTACCTAATACGAATACTGTTGATACTTTTGGAAAACTGACTGACTAATAAGAAGAATGGCATCCTGGCGGTATTTTGAATTTCAAGAAAGCAAAATTGGTAGAATGCAATTTTGATTAAATACTTAAACCTGCCGAATCTCTCAGGTGATAGTTTCATTTTTATCCTGATGCAATCAGGAACCATTGAAACGATGTTCACAAATCTGTCAATCACAAATGCGTGCTCAATTTTGCAGTATTTAAACTATTTCATAATTCCTTGAAACATTCGAAATTTAGCTTTAAAAAATCTATTATCCACCTATTTAGTTTTTAATATTAATTTCTCAGATGCATATGTGGAATTTTTAGCATTGTTTTAGTTCTAATCGTTATTTAAAATAGCACTCGAGAAGAATTTAGTCTTAATTGTTGCAACAGAATTGCAACAAAGCTGTCAGTAAAAATGATGCATGCAAAGTTTGCAGTCCATTATCGAACTGCTGTGGTTTTCGAGTTAGTAAAATAAAAAAAAACCGGTTTGATTGAATGTTCGGCGATCAAGCAGGGAGAATGCTCGGGTTTCACCGATAAAATTCAGTTTTGATCGCCGGTTGGGTTCTAACAGCTGGTGAGATTTAGTCAGGTCGAAACACCTATATTGCTCTTCCCGATTTTTCAGTTTGCGCTTTATTTGTTCTTTACACTACAAAATGCCCATTGCCATCAAAATAAAATCTCTACCGCTTTCAGATGCTTATGGGAATGTTTGGATTAGCCACTAAGAGAGAAAGTCAAAAGCAACAATTCTTCGGTTGACGACGTTTCAACCCTCTTGGAATGTCTTGTTCAATCCAAACATTCCAATGCAGATCTATCACTATGAGCACAACGCACATTTTCTTCAAAATTATCTACTGCTTTCATTTTAGCTAAACTATTGAAAACATATTTCGATGTCATTTAGAAACAAACCTCGGTGAATTTTCTTTCCCCGGAAGCTGAGTGTTCTGAACCAGCTCCACTCGGTCGGGAACCTCTACCACTTTCCGCACTGCTCGGTGGTTTTGAAGACACTTGCATTCCACTGGAAATTGGCACATCGCGAACCGGATCTGGCTTGTTTGATGCAGCCATCCAATATTTGAGTACAAACAGAGCACTTGGATGATCACTATTTAATCCTTCAGTGTCTGTGTGTCGTTGGACTTGATCCACACGGTTGGCTGCAGCTAGCAGTGAATCAATCCGAGACCCATTTGCTGGATGTGTTCCAACAGAAGATTCGTTGGTTGAGAGCAGTAATAGTGGATCTTGTTGGTTCTTCTGCTGTTCCATGATAAGTTCCGCTGCTGCCGAGTCTGTGGGTGTGATTGTTGTTGTAGATGGCATCACAGTAGTACGTGATATTCGTTGATTTAGATCTGTGTTCCTTCGGTTGGGCAAAGTTCGACAGAACATGGTGTCCGGTTGAACTGAGGGAAAATGCTGGTGCACTAAGGTCGGATCTATCATTGCCAATGGATGTTGACCGGCTGTGTCCATGATTGAAAATTTTCAACGAACAGATAAAATGCGGTTCAAATCATGTTCGCCAATGCATGAAACATGAATTTGATAACATAAATGAAAAGATTTACAGGTATGAGAAAAGAATTTTTATTAGTGTGGATAAAGTTGTTTCAGTCTGCATCGGCTGTGAATGATGTTGAATGCTTTCACAATTTACATTTTCAGAATTGTTGGAGGGACACTAAAAGACTGAAACGTACAAATAAGGCATGAATTCTGAAGATCATTAGTATGAATTACAGCAGGTATTTTATACGGACAACCTATCTTGTAACATCAACCACGGGCTTCATTCATAATAAGTTTTCAATCGTCCTGGGCAGTATCACCGATGATTCACTTTGATGAGTAAATAAAGTCATCAAAATTAAAAATAGGAGTTTTCGAAAATAGCTTTTTCGGTATAACCAGTTATCCTTAATTTCTACTCCAAGCCGATCATATTTATCTCATTGTCCCTGCTATTGAAGTTGTGAACGCAGATGAAAAGATGCATGCCATTCCCATGTTCTGTCATATCAGCTTTTACTTTAAATTGTTTTTTATGCACATCAAAATGGAAGAAGATTTGTTGGATTTTTGATTTGCACCGGGATGCTCTTTGGACCGGGTTGCTGATGATCTAGTCCAATATAACACGGAGGATTTAAATGTCACAGCTGATTGCTGTATACTAAAACAGACGATCGTTAAAATTGGAAACAATCATGAGTGTTCAAAATACGAGGCCGATTGATAATTCATTAATCGTGCTCAATGTGGATAGTGACCTGCATATTAAGAATATAAATTACTGTATAAAGTCCTGAAATTGGAAACTTTGTGTTCAGGTTGTCCCCAAAAAGTCGACAAATCATCTGTCTAACAGCTCGGAGGAGATACTCATTAAAAAACAATGGTTATGCTCAAAGAATGTATTTTTCCTACTATTAGCCGCGTTTTAAGGTGCAGTATTTTTCTCAGTTTGCTTTTAGACTTCTCAGTTTAAAAATCAGTGTCAAACGCAAACAACAAGACGACACAGCAAACCTGAAATGCGAGAGATGTGTTTTTTCACTTCTATTATAAACAACTTACACACAATGAAATCAGAATTTGTCCGTTTTATCCAAGCGTTGGTTTAAAGAGTAACTTGTCGTAAATCAAACTCGATCAAGAAATAAATATTGATGGTAAGGTGTTTTTTAAACATTGATTTGGCATTGAATACTTCTAGAAACGTAGTTGTTGAGCACAAATGCTTGTATAATTTGGACAAGTTCAAAGTTGAGCACTTTGATGATTTAGTCGAAAAATTCCAAAATCGATATATTTAAAGAATACCAATAATAATAGACGATGATCTATGAGGTGCAATTATCAGAATACGAGCGCACTGTGATTGCTAAATTTATTACTCCTAGCAATCGGTAAATGTCTAGTCATTCTGTAGAGGGACGTACTCGACACAGATTGTTGCCGAGCCAGGAGGGAGTTTTGAATGGCTGGATGGGTGAGCCAGTTACCTGCCATGAAGTTGTCCATATTCATAGGAACAAATCCTGTATTCCACATAGTGGGATTTGGGATTTGTTGATGCGCTCCAGGTGCTGATAGATACAAGGGAATAGGTCTTTGAATTTGTGAATTTTCGGATGCGCGAAACAGGCCCATGTGAGCTGCGGTTGGGCTGAACGGAGCAAAATGCCCGAGGGGACCAGCACCGATAGAAGGCGGCGGTGGTGGTTGGGGAGAGAAGCAACCCCGTCGATCCAGCAACTTTGGTGGTAATTCGTTCAAAGTAGACTCGGATCCAATGTGCGAATATATGGACGATGACTAAGTTTGATATTGGTATAAATCGGGAAGATAACAGTAAAAGTGTGAAAAAAGCATCGGAGATCAAATTGGCTCACAGTAGAGAGGAAAAAACTAATATGATTTCAGTGTCGACGGGAAACGTAAGGAAACAAAGAGCGTCCTACAGAATTAGTCATGCACATTATTAACCACGGCACTGTTATGTTTACGCATCCAAAAAAACGCTCGTTGCGGTATTTGCATCTCGCTAATTTCAGCACTGGCCTCCACGGTTATGATTCGGTTGTAAACATTCTAACACGACTACTTATTATGTGAGAGTAATGGAGGATTTATTTCACCTTTTCTTAGATGAGTTCTCCTTGAGTCGTGCAAATGAAGATTACACTGAAAAGCCAGGAATCACTGTACATCAGCCGTTTCGATCTGGTTGAGTCGCATCAGCAGTGTGAATACAGTGACACAATTGGTGGCCAAACCCGGAACCGCTCAGGCAGAATGTGAGCGTGATACTCACTCGGGCACCGGACAGCTGATCAGATCCTTTTTACTTTATTTTCGTTTTTCATCGTACAGCATGGAACAAATGAAGCGTGAACTGAAATTCTGAGCAGCATTACTGAGTGGTAACGTCATTAAGGTGTATCTATTGTGAAACACGCGAAAAGGAATCCCGCAACAATTTTGCATAGATGGGCTCTTCTGTTCTATGTAAATATGAAATGAAAAGCTTTTTATTCAGGTGCTCCAGTGGGGTGGGTGAGTGAGTTTTTATACTTGCGTTCTGTCTAGGAGTTCTCGAGTCCGATCCCAAGCGGGGTAGATGCATTTTAGCTACTGACCAAACCCGTGCAGGTCGAAACAGCTGCAATTCTTTTCCTGTCTTTGCGATTCACGCTTAATTTCTGCAATACCTGCCAAATGTTTCAATGAAAGTGAATCGAATCGTCCATTTCTCTAACTTAGTTTTGTATCGTTTCAAGTTGATTTGCACTACAACATAAATGCTATGCTTATTACATAAGGAACATGTCTTATGTGGAGACCTTCTGTTCTGCAAAATATATTACGGGTCTTTGAGTATTGTTCAGTGAAATTACTTCTCCTTTGTATGAAAGGTTTTTATGAATTAGTGGTGGAGAAGGTTCAACAGATTCAATATTTTTCACCCAACTTTGGAAAATGCTTTTTTCGCCGTTACTGTTCCAATCAATCTCTCTGAAGGCTGATCACTGTCCAACGATCACCGAATGTTCAAACGTATAATTGTTATTTGAGGAAAATGTTTTAATTTTAAATTTTTTTTATGAAATATGCATTTCACCCTTTAAGTGTTTAGCTTTATTCAGTGTAAACTAGGAGAGAGGCAAGAAAATATGTTTGACACATTTACTCGATGGACAACTTGTGAAACTCGAACAGTTTTAGTAGGTAATCATAGACGTGCGCAATTAAATTGTTCAGATAAACTAGAAGTTGCTATCTCACCCTTGGGAGCATAAATTGCGTGACATGTTGTCTGGTGTTTCTTTTGATACTTTTAAGATTAAAAATAACGCAAACAATCTGCGTTTTTGCGTGGCCGTGCGTTTATCTTTCAACATAGTTTTTGAACAACCGTGGCTTCATTATTCATGATAAGCGATTAAAATTACTTCAAATTCTCTGATTGAATGTTTTAGTCTCTTTAGCCCTTTCCATTAACGACAAGTTTATTGGCAAAATTGACTGCAAAATGTGTTTTGCAAAATTGCTGCTTTTCTGATCTAGTTCGCGAACAAACTGTCTTTATTTTATTATTGTTCATTCTATCATAAAAGCAATACAAATATGGAACCACTTTCACGTTTTGTAATTTATTATTAATATGTGCATAATTTTTAGAGCTTTTCAACGGCTACAATCTCTGATCACAAGTCATTCAAAAATGTATTGTGGATCTCCAGCACGAAATCGTTAATTTTGATATTAGATGCCTGCGGTATAGAAACAATTCAGCCACATAAACTGACCTCCTCCACGAGGTTTCGCTCCATGTGCAACACTGAAGATACTATAATAACTTATGGTTAAACATTCAGCGTTCCAAATATCTTTGAATACCATAATATGGGCAGACATCAATACGTGGATGGTAATTCTTTCTTCTGAACTTTTGGGATAGAACTGACATATTTTTTTGAATTCTTTGAATACATGCATCATTTTCCGAATCGGCTGGCACAATGCAAAATGACTGACTTTTGATTTTCGCTCATTTGTGACTGTTCCCAATCCCAGAAAAGACAGCGGCTCTATGTCAAATGAGCAAAAATAGTTCACTATGCAAAACATATATTAAATTAACCATGTGGAATCAGGTCAGTGGTTCTTACTTGATCATTTTGAATAATTCTTGCACCTTCTCCATCCTCATTATCGCTTATTCCTGGAGAAGAAAAGTTCCCGTCTGGGCCACCAATGTACGCTTCAAATGGTTCTCTCTTAGCATCGTTCACGTGCGCTGCTTTGTCAGACGCGTCACTATCACAACAGAGAAGGGAATCCAACTCCTGCCCACTAGCGTTTGATTGATGATGATGACGGTTATGTGAATTGTGCTGATTGTGATGCTGAATCGTGGACTCCAGAGAGTGTGGGGTACCATTACCGTAAGAATACAGGCCGGACACCATAACAGCTTTAGATTTGGAAGCTTTAGGAATATCGGCGTTCAACCAAGATTGTTGAGTGGGATAATGTTGCTGTTGTTGTTGCTGTTGCAACATCTGGGTTTGAGTTTTTTCACCGGGACTGAAGGGCATAGTGGACCAGGCTGGTGGATGAGACGGTGGTGGACAACCGGACAATTGGCACAAAGACTGTAACTCGGCCAGTTGGCGTAAACCAGGATTCGAGATGCCTAAGTGTTGCATCTGCGGTGACCCAGTAAATTGAGCCTGATAGGAGGAATCCATAAAGTTGAGCACCGGATTGGCCGTGTTCATCAGATAACCATTTGGTGTGCTGGACAGTTCTAATGAGGATGTCGTGATTCCCAGTTTATTTGGTGACTCTACAGCTTCTGAAAGTTGAAAATTCATGCAGTAAGTTGTAAGTAAAATGAAGAAAATAGTGATATGCATGTTGGATATAGGAGACGGCTGTACCTAAATGCAGCATCAAGGTTCTAAGCTGTCACATTGGACACGTTACAAACCATTGACTGTGATTTCAGAGTAAAGTGAGTGAAGAAAAACGCGCTTATAAAACTGAATGGTTGACAGATTGGGGGTGCCAATAAAACACATTTAATCATACTTAACCACTTGATAAAGAGCACTTTCGACTACCATTTGGCTCAAATAAGCTTAAGGCGGGTGAAGTAGCAGAGATCCTAGAGATAAGGCAAAATAAGTGACAGCAGTAAATATCAACAACGAAAATGTTAACCAAGTTATCCGTGAAATTTGAGAATTAATGACAAAACTTGTTGTAGTTGACTCGTGAGAGAATGCTTCTGGAGTATATAAATTGAAAGATTCACTGATGATCTCAGGATGCATGCCTAGCTAAAAGATATTTCAATCAAAATGGAGATGGAAATCCACCAATCCTTTATGATTAGATAACTCGTTACACTGTTTAACTGAAAACAGTGGTATGTAATTTAAGTAGTGCTGAATAATTTATTCGTTTCAGGATGAGTGAAGCATCACTAGGATATTCAGCGCTAGGGTAGACGACGACGAATGTTTAACTGAGTTTATTTGAAATGTGATTTCAATATCTTGATGCAGTGTGGAATGGTATAATTGAAAATTTAGTTTTAAGATGATCCAGTTTAACTTCTCAGGTTCTACTCATTCAAATGTCTCGGTGTTCTACTTCATTCTTTTTGGGTTCGCTTTTACCCCATATCTAGTTTGTATGTAAAAACGTCTTGTACGATGGCTGACTATCAGCACAGGACAGCTGTTTGATCCATGGAGGAATCCATTTGCGGACTACATTTTGTGCCCCGGGTGCTAGTTGAAAACCGAATATCAAATCCGAAGCTGAAAGCCTTACTGAGATGAGCTCAACTCATTCATCATTACTGCCGGAATATGTATTATGCTGAAATTTATCATGCAACTTTTAAGTAAGCTCATGAGAGCGCACAGCGAGAGATCCATATTCCCCACACTTGTAACACGCATGCCGAAGAGAAAACCGCTTCAATAAACGTCACCTTTGTGCTCCCGAACGTTATAAGTTGAAAGCATTTAGTTTCTATTAAAATACGCTATTTGAGATAGTCAAAATAGTTGACCATGTCAATACTACCAATTAGGTTAAATTTGTAGTCGAGAAAATTGACAGCTTGATGTGTGTTATAGTCCGTAGACGAATCCATGTTTATTCATGTTCCGTTTCCCTATATGGCGTGTTCACTGACTCTACAGACCGGAAAACGGTACAAGCCTCAATTATGTATTTCTGCGAGAGATCCCATTTGTTCCGGAAACAACCGTTACCAGCCTGAACGCCAGAATACATCAAAAGTGATACAAACGGATTGTTTCTACGAATTCATTGCCACGTATATCCGGTATCTTGACTTAAAATTAGATGGTGGTCATAATTGCAAAACGCGTCTAAAAACGAAGTTGTATTTAAAGAATTGAACATAGAATCACGAGAAAGGCTGTCAATTATCTGTTGACTCTAGAATAAATCTGTTAAAGTTAGAGTTTGATCACTTGGTGGGAAATTAACTGATTCGCACTATTTTCTCTTCTGAACCAGAACTATTAAAATGTTATGGATTTTCAAATGATTTTCAATCGTCATACCCAGATATCCACCTCTGTTATGTGGATCTGTAGTAACATCGAATGTCACGGAGGTCGAATTGCGCGACATATTTCACCCAGGATATTTTGAAATTCCACCGAATAAATCAGAGAATGGACAAATGTGTGAAAGTTCCTTGGTGATACTGAGCACAACCTGCGATAAGAGTCAGTTTTCACTCTCTCTTTTGTGTCCATATTCCTTTGGAACATTGGTGGCTACCCAAACGGGATACAACCATCTAGCTCAGCCAAAGAACGGTATACTAAACAGAGGAGTAAGGAAAATGGATAAGTGGGTTTAAATCTTTTTGACGGTACATCATAAATAGAGCATGTAAAAATGTATTCCTGTCAAACAAAGAAACTTGGAGCATTCACCAGTTAATCAGCACTATGGTACCTGTATAAGTAACATCGTTAGAATACTGTTTTCAAAGCTTAGTAAACGAACATTTTTGTGACAGCCAGATTGTAGTGAAAATAAGTCAAAAATACACGTTTCCCCATCAAGCTTTAGCGGTTTTTTATTGTATCAGTTTTGATTCATTTCAGGCCTTGTGAATGCAAACCAATATACTATTTGTGTTACATTTGCGAGCATCGCTCATTTTTCCTCAACACGAAAGCTGTAAGAAATTTGGCGGGTTTGCTGACGAAAGAGGTTTATCCTTCAAACTTACTACAACTAATATATGGTTCGACATTACATACCATTACGACGATCAAAGCGTATCATACAAACGCCCCACACTCCCACTCTTCAACATCAAAATTTGTACAAAATAAAATGTTTCAACATTCGTTGACAGCAGAATATTCTAATACTTTTTGGTCTGATTGCCCTGCAGTGGCATGATTACCTTTTGTGCGTCAGGGCTACAGGACTACTGGTCGTGGCTCAATCATTGCGATTCGTCAAATAAATACTGTTTCATCAAACAGAAAAAGTGTCTTAATAAGCGATTTAAATTAAATCCTCTGTTTATCTGTGGTCAACTTCTACTGACCGAACTGCAAGTCAAGTCTCATTTTTTCTTTGCCATTTTTCCCCACTCCACAGGTGTTTCATGCTCAAGGTGTATATTTTCAAAACTCTTTGATAAATTTTGTAGAAAAATATTGGTTTGTCTACTGGAAGAAGAAAATATTTTACAGGCAGAGTAATCACCAACTATTTTGACATCATCACCAAGTTCAAAATATTCTGCTTCCAAAAATGAAAAATCATTTACTCTGCTCCTGGATTTTACTCATTTAATAAGTCGAAGTCAATCAGGGTCTTCCAGGGATTTTCCATTCCGTTCTGTCTTTTCTAATAAGTTATTGAGCATATTTATCCAATTCTTTGAAAAATCTCGACTTAATTATTTTTAAGCTCTTTGTACAGACACAATAAACATCATTTGCAATGCCTTATTTTCCGCGCAGGTTTAGGTTTCTGCAGAAAGATAGCAAAGCCTCTTATGTGGTGAAGTCATTAAGGAAGGTAAAGAAATTCGCCTTTAAAGCAATTGAACCGTTTGCAGTACACTGTGTCCCAAGATTTTGTGTTAAACAAAGCGCCTCGGTAACGCAATCATTGGACAACAACTGAAAAGCCAGAATGAAAAAATAGCTTGACCAAGTGTTCAGATCCTCTGCGGAAAAAGCAGATTCGGAGATGAGTAGAACTCAGTGTCCGTCTACTTGTCCTCAAATACTCTTTTCTTTGTCATCCCATAAGTCTATCCCATCACTGGCCAATCTCCACAAACGAAGTTTTCAAGTCATCAACACAGGAAGACATGTGGGCAGGATTGATATTGGCCATCAATGTCGTGTGCTCCCATTCAGCTGTAAACGCTCATTTATATGATCATGTGAAGCATTGGAGTTGAAATGAGTCATTTGAACAAAGTGTTGGACGAGTGAGTCGAGTGATTTGTGCTTGGTTAGGGGTTGAGGTCAAGTAAGATGAGAAAATTTGATATGGGGTGAACTGGACCAAACGATGTGGTGCATGTAGTGAACTAGGGAGGGGGAGGGAAGGTCATGTCACGGCATGCAATGGTAGGGTGGTATCAGGTGTGATATAATCACTAACATGGCAAAAACAGTTGCGTCACAAATTTTTTTTGGACACAATCGCGGTTTCAAGCGATGAATAATTATCGCTTCTAAGAATCGAAAAGTTCGTGAACTTCGAGGCCTCGCAATGACTCGAAACGCTTTGGGTGCGTCTACGTGGTGACCGGAATAAAACAAATGACGGGCAATCGCACTAGATGGTAATTTCCCTCCGCGAAGACTAAGTTGTTTCGGAATATGTTCACACATTCTGGTTGATAAGTGACGTTCTGCCCTTCCGATATACCGTTGACCGCAAGTACATTGAACTGAATAGATGCAGTTAGGTGCAACGCGAACGGCTTTTCGATGCAGATTAGCGTGTCTGAGACAACAAGAATAGTTTTCTAATTTATCCGAACCCCACAACTGCTTCTTAAAGTTGGTTCTGACCTTTCAGTTCCTGCACTCTTCAAAGTCGGTGCCGATCCACTAACTGAGATGATAATAGCTCTTGTTAACAGAACTGGTGTCT